TTTAATATTATTTTGAAACTAATGCTTTCAATTTTCAATAATATTTTCATTTTTTGACAAGTCAAGGCCACATTTTGCATATCGCCTCTCATTTCCAACAACTTGCTGCTACCAATTGCAAATACAGTAATAATAATGATAATTCATGACTATGGGTTACAAAGATTCTCTAGAGTTTGAGGTGCGATGAATATTATGCAGTGGTATTGTCGTGTTCTGAATTGATACACATACTCCGTCTATAGCAACCTTACTGAATGACTCAACTCTCCTATCGTTTTTACCATTCTTGTCAATTTCCCTCACAATTTTTCCAGTCATTGATGGGTTGGACAAAGTATATACTTTGACTAAAATTATTTGAAAATTGAGAGAACCAAGCTTAGTGTTTTCAAGTTCGTGATCTTTAAGAGTGTTTTATAAGCATGCGTTACTTTGAGCTTGCTAGCCTGCATTCACATCAGGATGTATGTGTTGCAACAAGATATATTCTAGGTGTAGCAATCTACTTTTTCACAACATTTTTTTTCTTCTGCTAGTTTTAGTACAGTCTTGTGATTTTCATGACATAATTATTTGTACTTTACAGTATTTTGTAAAAAAAGTAAAATTAAATGAACGTACTCATGTAAAAGGGTCTCTACGTGACCACTCAAAGATTGTAATCATGGTAAAAGATTGTTGTCATCGTATCGTAATCAAAACTTTGTAACCGTAGAAACAATCTGTATGGTAACATTTAATGTAATTCTATTTGCATTGCACAATGCAACTGAACTTTGTTATTTTGTGTGATTAATGATGGTCATGTCGACATGTTTGGCCTTTATGCAAAGTTTGTAATAAAGTTATTTTCTGATAAGCCTTTATTTTGATCACTACTAATGTATATGGGTTGAATCTGTAACAAATTCATCAACTTAGTGGCATTGCTAGATGCAGGAGTGATGTAATTATCTGCATCTGAAAATTTAAATATTGAAAGATTTCTCCTAAATAAACAGAAGAATCAATCCCAATGGCGAAATGAGTACATGCCACATATACAGTATGCCACATATACAGTATAGACAACATTCATAATAAAAATGATTTTCATGTGTGTGTGAGATTGTATTTGTGTGAGTGTCTGTGTGTCACCAGGCTTACCGTGTACTTAATTTATAAAACAATGCGTTACCCCATAGGCCTAAAGTTATAAACATAGAAAATTCTATAAAAAAAAATTGCCAATCCCAGGGCAAAATTTATTATGCCATTAAACTATCACTATTTTTGAATTATTTCCATGAAAAACACTATCAGTTCTTCCATATTTTAGTATACGGGAGCGTAAAACCGATTGACACATTATAACTTGTGTTGTGTACTCGTTCCTAAATGATGTAAAAGACACGCGGGTACCATGCAAATCATAAGAGGGCAGGGGCGGATTATGACATTTGAGCTTTAATTTGTGGTTAAACAAATGTTTGCACTTGTGGGTGAAACCTTTTACATTTGTGTTTATTTGTGGTTGACATGTTACCATACAATTGTCGTTATTTTGACATTTGAGGGTACAATTTTTTCACATTTGTGGTTATTTTTATATTCGTGGTTGATTTCTACATTGTGTGGGTACTACACCCATCGGAAAATTGTTGTCCTCCATCTAAAAGTGTCTTAAAGTTTGTTAAATTGTCACGAAAAGGATGGTTAAATTAGTATATAGTATTTTGTTCTTCTCTTGCTCATGCAGCCTTGTTTTGCATTATAATTGACACCCGTTATACACGACTGTGATTGCACACTAATCTATGTCCGTCAACATTATCGCTCAACGACCTTTTGACGAAACTATGTGTCAACGTGCAAATTACCTATTGTAAATCCACTCTTTAAAATTGATCGACATAGAACTATGGAACAATTGATTAGTGATAAACTACGCATGGGCGATGATTTCGCCACCAAAACCCAAACCGCAAATTCGGCACAATGCGCTAACAAATGTACAGTCCACTGTACAGCGGATCAATTCATAAAATCGTTGCAAACATGGATGATGTGTATGTGGAAAACTGAAACACAGATATAACGAAGAATGCGTCAATGATGTGAAGAAAATAACAGATTATAAATCGATATTGATTTAAACATAGGCCTATATAATTTATACAAAACAAACGTAGGTCCATGGGCATTAATGCACTATGGCTGTCTCTTATACACATCTAGATGTGTATAAGAGACAGATGTACGGAATGCCAGCCATTTTCTGA